TGGTGCCCCCCCCCGCCCCCCCCCCCCCCCCGCCCCTGGGGTACCGGCCGCAGTCGCGAGGACACCGCGAGGTTCCCGCCGCTTTCCTCACCTCGCGGCACGGGACGGTGCGGGCCGGAGGCGAGGCGCCTCTCCCGCCGTTTTTGGTTCACTGTGGTAACCGCCTGCGTCCTGTCAGCGCCTGACCTGAAACCCCTCTCACCACCGCACCCGAATAACGCGGGGGCTCCCCCTCCCGCCGGCCGGTGCTGCCACCTCGTGTGGGGAACGGCCGTTTGTGACCTGTGTGGGATCCGGCTCCCAAGGCTTCCAGTCAAACCTTCAGTTGCCCTGGCCGTTTGCCGCTACTGCTGTTCCTGCGGTGCCATCTCCGTATCCGTGCCGTGTACAAAGCAAAAAATTACTACCCCCAAGGTAGTATTTTCTCACACGTGTCTGGTTCAGAATTAGCTTGATTTTAAATGGGTTGCCATTGAGTGTTGATATTCTGGAGGTTTTTCTTAGATTTATTGTGTGGGGAGGTGCACAGTCACGTCTTTAGGTCTTCTCACCTTAATGATAAGAAAATCCCTTCTGTTTTAACTCCTCGGTTGCATAGTGACTTTATCCCCATGCTGAAGTTGTAGCAGTCCAACTAATGCCAGGAGGTTAAGGTGGGCAATGCTGAATGAAAAGTGCGAATGGTGTGTGCCAATTCATACTGCAGCTTAAACCTGGCTAGTTTAAGGTGAGTTGGTCCCTTAAGGATTTCTGAAACTAAAAAGAGGTAAGCTATTTGAGATGAAAACAGGAATGAGCATACGTAAGTGTATGTAGCCTTACTGAAACCTCCTTAACAACTAATTTAGAACAAATGATAGCAATTTTCTTGTTTAGTCAAAGAACTAAAGTTAGTGTCTTAATTAGGTCTTTTTTGAGTGATTGTCAGTCTGTACAATCATGTTGTCTGTGTGCATAAAGACAATCACTTCAGCTGTGGACTTTTCATTTCCAGCAGTACCCGCAAATTACGTGTGCTTGTTCCCTCAATCTGCTTGCATGCTTTGCATGTACAGTAAAGGTGGTCAGAATATGCCCCAAATCTTCATTTCTTCTCAATAGTTGGCTTGAATCTGAATAGAATAGAATAGAATAGAATAGAATAGACTGTTTCAGTTGGAAAGGACCTACAATGATCAACTGCCTGACCAAAAGTTAAAACATGTTATTGAGGGCATTGTCCAAAGGCCTCTTAAACAGTGACAGGCTTGGGGCATCACCCACCTCTCTAGGAAGCCTGTTCCAGTGTTTGACCACCCTCTTGGTGAAGAAATGCTGCCTAATGTCCAGCCTAAACCTCCCCTGTCGCAACTTTGAACCATTCCCATACCTCCTGGCACTGGATCCCAGAGACAACAGCTCAGCACCTCCATCTCCACGTTCCCTCCTCAGGAAGCTGTAGAGAGCAATGAGGTTGCCCCTCAGCTTCCTTTTCTCCAAACTAGGCAAACTAGGCCAGAGTCCTTAGCCACTCCTCACAGGACATTCCTTCCAGCCCTTTCACCAGCTTTGTTGCCCTCCTCTGGATGCATTCAGGTTCCTTAACATCCTTCTTAAATTGTGGGGCCAAGAACTGCACGCAGAACTCAAGGTGAGGCCGCGCCAGCACTGAATACAAGGGGATAATTACCTCTTTTGACCAGCTGGAGATGCTGTGTTTGATGCACCCCAGGATGCCGTTTGCCCTCTTGGCTGCCAGGGCACACTGCTGCTGACTCACATTGAGCCTGTGGTCAACCAGCACCCCCAGATCCCTTTATGCAGGGCTTCTCTCCAGCTACTCCTTTCCCAATTTATGCTTGTGCCTGGCGTTACACCATCCCAGGTGTAGAATCTGGCATTTCAACTTGTTGAATTTCATCCCATTGCTCATTGCCCAATGCTCCAATCTATCTAGGTCCCTCTGCAAGGGCCTCTTGTTCCTCAAGAGAGTCAACAGCACCTCCCAGTTTGGTATCATCAGCAAATTTGCTAATGGTGCATTCAACTCCTGCATCCAGATTGTTGATAAACATACTCGGTAGAACTGGCTCTAGAATTGAGCCCTGAGGAACATTGCTGGTGACCAGTCACCAGCCAGATGTAGCCCCATTCACTACAACGGCTTGAGCTCTGCCCTTCAGCCAGTTCTTCACCCAGCGCACCATGAACCTGCTCATCCCATGGTTGGACAACACGTCCAGAAGGATGCTGTGAGGGGCAGTATCAAAAGCCTTACTAAAATCCAGAAAAAATACATCCACTGGCTTCCCTTCATCCACTGGGTGGGTGACCTTATCATAGAAGGATATCAAACTGGTTAAACAAGACATTCCCTTTGTGAACCCATGTTGACTGTACCTGAACTGTCTTTTAACTTGTGGTGATCTAAGAGGCATTTCTTTGACCTATTTATCTTTAGTAGTTTTTTTGGTTTGGTTTTGTCTATTCACAAGTTTTTATTCTCATTTTTTTGCTACAACTGTTAAACATTTTGGATTTGAGCCAGTAAGTTTATCCACCCACCTGTCTAGCTCTGTGTTACATCAAGGAAATTTTTGGATGTTGAAAGTTAGAGGGAAGGAAGGACAAGGTAGGCTATGCCTGCTAATGCCAGGTGTAGGCATCTGCAAGGCAGAAGACCACACTCTGCAAAGAGTGATTTGGGGCAAATATAACATTGAAAACATAGCACGTAGGTCCCATAACGCATAGGTCTACACACAGTGTAAAGACGCTGGTGGACAACATATCTCATAAAGGAAAGCAGTTCGGTTCCTTGCAAGTAACTTCTCTTCATGCTGAAGGAGCTCGGGCATGTGGGGGGTGGGGTGTCTGGTTCCATTAATTTACTTTTAGCTGAGGTGATAGGGCTGCTGATCAGAGCTGGGCCCAGCTTTCAAACAGTTTGGGGAAGATCCTGCAGCGGCTACCTTCAGTTTTCTGACTAGTTTTCCTATGCTCTCCCTGTAGTGAATGAAAAGTCAGGCTTCTGCTCTGAACTGTCTTTGAGAGGAGTGTTTGTGCTGGGGGGATGAACTGCTCCTAGCTAAGTTTGTCATTAAGAATTTCCTCCTTACAGAGCTAAAAATGTGTCATTACAATGTTTTTTGTGAGTATGGCAATCAAGCTCTTCAGTCATTTTGATACTTTTTAACATTTTCCCTGGGCCTTGTTATTCAGATGTCACCCATCATTCTTTTGTAGGACTGAAATACAATGAAAGGAGAGTTGATAAGAAAATATTCTGGAATATGGAGCACAAAAGTTCAGCAGATGTAATAATGTACAGATGCGCTGGTATAGCACTTCCACTCCTGGGTAGGTAGATACAGAGTTAAAGATATATAGAGAATATAATTATTTTAAATTATTATTTATACAGAACAGCACTAGGCTGGCAATGTTTAAATTCACGTTCACATGTATTGCACTGCCTGAGTGCAAAATCAATTAGAAATGCACAGCTGTTACACCTGCTTTCTAAAACTTCTCTAGTTATTGTTTGGCAGTGATAAAGAGCAGAGGGGAGCATTAGTATGAGAGTATGTTATATTTACAACTTTAACCTCATTTTAATGTATTTAAATGTATAGAATATCATGATGAACATAATAGTGGATTATTTAAATTTCAGTATTTAAAAAATGATTTCTCACAGAAGGGGTGTAAAAATGCAAAAAACCAAAAAGTAAAAATAACATCACTTTATAAATTAAGCTGAAATACTTGGAGTAGTATCTAGCAGTATTTTTAGTCTGTTAGTAGGAATTGTGGTAATCTAATACTAGTGAAATTGTATCTCTTCCATTTTTTAAAGTTAAGCTTTTATTACAGTTTCTGTACAATTATGCCTAAAGACCTGTTCCTTAACAAAAACAAGTGTGAAATTTTAGTTTCATGGCTACATTTCCCTGATGGGACAAACTGAGAAGGTTTGCCTTTGGAAAAAAAAATGCAAGAAAATGAGACTGTTAAACTTCAAATCAGCTATTATAATTGCATCTTAGTTACGCCTTACTGCTAAATTCAAGTCTTTTTCAGGACAACTGAAATGTACTAATGTTTATATGGCTATGTTTATATGGTTTAGTAATTTTGTTTCTGTTTACATTTTGAATAATGATGGGCTGATGATATTTTAGTGGGAGGCTTTTACAAATTTTTTTTTCCGCTTAGTTTATTGCTCACTTGGGATAAAAATTAAACGGCATCCATCTACTTACGGGGTAACTTAAAAATGGAGTGATCTAACTGATAACAAAAATGTGGATTCTCTCAGAAGCAGACTGTTTATGTAAACGTTTCACTTCTCTTTATGGAGATATTACAGATGATTCTGAGGATGAGCGACTCGTGCTTTATATGTAACACTAGTAAATGATAAGAAAGGAGTTCTGAAAATATTGTCATGCTAGGATTCAATGTTATATTTGCTATATTCTTTTGAACAACTGAGAAATATAATGATTTGCTGGAGAACAAGACAGATTGGGTTTCTGAGAAGAAACCTGTCTTCTCCAGTCTGTGAGACTGTTTTAGAATATAAACAAAACAGTAGGTAAGGATCCTGGGCAATATTTGTGTGAGTTCTCCGCATTTCTTTGACATAGTCCCTCTGAAGAGACTATCCTGAAATTAACATTTGATTCACAGGAGCTGAGATCTTTTCATGAAGCAGAAACTGGCTACGATGCAGAAATCAGACTAAATGACTATCAGTATAGCTCAACTAAATGATTGTCAGTATAGCTAAAGCACAGTAGGGAGGAATGTTGAGGTTTGTTGTTGGAAATTAACAGAGATAGACAATAAGGTGAGAGTGAGATGAATTGAAATGACAAATAAGGTTACAAAATTATTCACTGTCGAGTACAATTATACTCTGTCTTAGACTTTTCTATGTATTTCTGCTTCTGTAGTGAGCTCCAGTCTCTGGATGGGAACCATCTTTTGGGGTGGAGGGTAGGTGAACATCCAGAAAAACTACCTTAATGAAGATTTCCCACCCCAGTCCAATTCCAAGTTTTGGACCTCAGCAATCTGTGTTGTAAAAACTTTCAGGCAGACAACAACTTAGGAAAGCTAGGCATGGGGAAGCTGAGGCTTAACTAGATCTTGCAGAAGCAGTTTAATCTTTGAAGAACTTGATACAGAATCTTGGAATTTTTTACTTCTTTTTTTATTTATTTTTGAGTTCTCTGTGTAGAGGTAAGATAGATTAAAGCAGAACTAGGTCTGACAGCCAAAAGAATTTTTTCACTGTGTAATGTGATAAGGATGTCTTTGCCGTGCGGTGACTGACTAAGCTGCAGTAATAAAGCTATCACATGGTGACCAAGATATTGGACAAGCCTGGCTTGGAAGTCGTGGATTCACAGTTGAATCTTCCCCTGTTATAGTCCCTGCTCCACCCAAGACTAAGTGGCCTTTGGAAAATTATCTCAAATTTCTGCTTTATCTGTGAAATTAGAATAATATATCTACTTGCCAACATTAAAAATTAATTAAGGGTTGCACAGTGCATGTTCAAAGCAATGTATAAGTGCTGAATATTAGCTATAGTGTAATTGGACTACTGTAATTTATAATACGATAACTGACATTGGCATATAAAATAGGATCAACCTCTTCTCAAGTGCTGTAGAATTTTTAATTGTTACTAATGAACTTCAGATACTCAAACTGGCTATGACTGTGAGACAGGGAATGCTGCCAGGACATGTTTGTAGGAAAGCTTAACAAGGCAACTACTGATTTTTTTTTGCTTGAAATAAAAAAAAAGCATGTATGTATATATACACCTACTTTAAGGGCACAGTTTAAATTAAATTTGTTTTAGGCAGTAAGCTTTATTTCTTTTTAAATGGAAACAGGACATTACCCTAGCATTTCAAAACTTTCATCTCTTTCAGCATATTTTAAGCTGAAAATGCTTCCTGTTTTCTGACCAGCTTTGCTTAGTAGTTGTCACTGCAATATATAGAGGTTGCCACAGAGAAAAGTGGAAAATATTCTGTATATCACTGGAGGTGGGGAAAGAAATTTTTTTACTAAATCTGACTTAAACAACATACTTATTCAGTGTGCTTTAGTGGCCTGATGTTTGCCAAAAGTTCAGTTCCAAGCTTTTGCTAAGTTTTGTTTTAAAGGGTTGGGAAGGAGAGACAAGCTAAGAGCAAACAAAGAGATGTCAACAGAAGGATTGCTGAGAAGGGAGCGTCAGTTGAGGGAAGGCAGTCATACCTGTTAACATTTAAAAAGCCCTTTCAAGGACTAACAAAATAAAGGATAGAGATGTCCTCATCCTGAAATGGCTTTTATATTTCTGAACCTGCTATAAAAGCTTTTCTTAGAACACTTCCCTTCTAAAAACAAAATAGTTTCTATCATA